TTATTAAAACAGATTTTTGCGCTCAAAAAAAGAAGCAATTTATCAAAAAGTAAACATTTGCGCCAAAAACAAAAAGAAATAATTGCCTAATATATTATTATATAAATGTGATAATTTATATGTAAACGTGTACAAGTGAACATTTGCGCCAAAAACAAAAAGAAATAATTGCCTAATATATTATTATATAAATGTGATAATTTATATGTAAACGTGTATAAGTGAACATTTGCGCCAAAAACAAAAAGAAATAATTGCCTAATATATTATTATATAAATGTGATAATTTATATGTAAACGTGTACAAGTGAACATTTGCGCCAAAAACAAGAAGAAATAATTGTTTAATATATTATTATATAAATGTGATAATTTATATGTAAACGTGTACAAGTGAACATTTGCGCCAAAAACAAGAAGAAATAATTGTTTAATATATTATTATATAAATGTGATAATTTATATGTAAATTTGTAAAAGTAAACATTTGCGCCAAAAACAAAAACAAACAATTATCTAATATATTATTATATAAATGTAATAATTTATATGTAAACGTGTAAAAGTGAGCATTTGCGCCAAAAACAAAAACAAACAATTATCTAATATATTATTATATAAATGTAATAATTTATATGTAAACGTGCAAAAGTAAATGTAATAATTAATGTATAAATTTGTTAACAAGAAATTATTAATATTTCTTACATTAAATGAAAAGAAATGAAATGAATCATTTCGTGGAAACATTATTTCAATAATGTTTTAAAAGTACGTATGTAAAAATCAACCTTTAAAATCTATATTTATTTCATTCATTCATTCATCTATCGGTTTGTTAGAAGTTGTAGAACGAGGATGACGATAACGGGCAATAGCTTTCTAATATCCTCTCCTCAATCACATTTCATTTCCGATAGAGTTACAACTAGAAACTCTGAAATGCTAAGATGCTATAGTTGTTTTGCTCCTACTCTTTACTTCTAATCGATTCATTTTCTCTTTTTGCATAAAAAAAAAATTATTCATTCCTTTCTCAAAAACTCTATTCCTATATTGAAACTATTAAAATTTATATTTTCTACATATCTCTCTTGCTTCTAAATTTTCTTGATAAACTTTTTCATCCTCTTTTTTCCTCCTCTTTCTCTTTTCCCTCTTCTTTTTGCATTTCTTTTTTTTTCTTTTTTTTATCTAATCATTATCTTTTTCTTGTCCACCTTTTTCTCATTCTTTATTCTCTTTATTTAATCATTATCTTTCCTCATCCTCTTTGTTTTTCTCATTCTTTCTTCTTCTCATTCTTTACTTCTCTTTATCTTATCATTATCTTTTTCTCATTCTCCTTTCTTCTCCTATTTATTCTTCGATCTTTCTTTTCGACTTTCGAAAGTAACACTTTTTTATCCTCATCTATTTTCTACATTACACACATAACACACACACACACACACACATACACACATACAATTCTGCTTTACAAATAGCCTTATCTATTAACAATACGGCGCAAACGACGCATTTCACTTACCTTTCCAGTTCAAACGTAATGTCCGCATGCGTGTATATGTGTATGTGTATGTGTGTGGGTGCGTATATGCGTGTGTATGTGTGCGTGTGTGTAGGTTTGTTTGTGTGTGTGTGTGTATGTTGAATATGTACATATACCGCCTTATCAATTTTGCTGCTTTTACCTTTGCTTGTGAAGAAGTAAAGAACAGTGTGAAAAGCAAATAGTGAAGAGGTATCCTATCCATCTATCCGTTTATCTACCCATTATTCAACTATTTATCCATTTATCCACCTTATCTATCTATGCATTCATCTATCTATTCATTTTTATCTGTCTATCCATTCATCTATCTAATCTATCTATCCATTCCTATCTGTCTGTCTATCCACCTATCTATCTCTATCTCTACATCTATCTATTTATCCAAGCATATCTATCCACCTATCTATCTATCCCTCTATCTATCTATCCATCTATTCATCTATCCAACTATCCCTCTTTCTACTTGTCCATCTATCCGTCCATTTATGATGCATTCATCTCTCATCTATCTATCTATCTATCTATCTATCAATCCATCTATCTATCAATCTATCTATCTATCAATCCTATCTATCTATCTATCAATCCATCTATCTATCAATCCAATCTATCTATCTATCAATCCATCTATCTATCAATCCATCTATCTATCAATCCATCTATCTATCAATCCATCTATCTATCAATCCATCTATCTATCACTCTATCTATCCATCCAGGTCTACTCCGTCTTATTGGCAATCCTAACTTTATCGTTATATCCTGCACCTCACCTCATCATCCCACCACCATCACTACCACCACCACCAACAACCACCACCGCCATCACTATCACCATCATCACCATAAACTATATCTTTAATCTTTATAGGTTGTGATATTATTTCAAAAAAATTTTCCACGCTATCTTTATACTTCTTGTTATTTAAACATACCTAATTATAAGTACACGTAAGCTTTTTGTATCCTTACATGGCGTAAATATTTTACGATGTGAAAGAAACAGTGGTAAGAAAGGAAGAAAATCAAAGCAATAACATTACGGTATGTTGTAATAACTTTTTTGTTTTTATTTTAATATTATTTTAATTATCTTTTAGTTGCATAAAATTTGGCGTTAACATTACTACTCTTACTACTACTACTACTACTACTACTACTACTACTACTACTACTACTACTACTACTACTACTACTACTACTACTACTGCTGCAATTACTGTTTTACTGTTACTGTTGCTGTTACTATTATTTATTTATTATTATTATCATCACGATCGTTACTATCACTATTACAATTCTTATTGTTACCAAACGTTATTTGATATTGTATCGACCAATAATTCATATTCTTTTCACTATTATCGTGCCACAACAACTCAATGGCCCAAGGAACTCCACGTAAATTTGCGGAAAAAATTGCAATAATGGAAAGGAAGCAAAATGAAGATCAGGAAGTATTTACCTCTGTTATGCGTGATGTACGTGCAATTACGAGTAATTGTACCGCTTCCCCACCAGTATGTTCCAGTCCTCAGGCTCTTGCACCACCGATACATTGGAATCGATCGGGTGGTTCACTGCCAGATGTACATGAAATGGTACAACAACAACCGGATGTTCGTAATTGGCCATATTGGCCAGGTTTACCCCAAATGAATTCATCACATCATTCACGTGCTCGTACACCTGGTACCACACATTATCATCCATACAAACCATCGAAACAACATGAGCGTTGTTCACCACTTGATCATTTCGATTATCAACATTTACATTATCCAGCTAATAATCATCTCCAACCACCGGATATGTTATGGCCAAAGTTAGAATTTTGTATACTTTGATCGAGTGGTCGAAAATATTTAATTAATTAGTTTATCATTTTGAGGATATTCAGTCAATAGATTTTGTTTCTCAGTTCATTGGTTCATTCATGTAACAATATCTTTAAACGATAACAAGTTTTGTTTGTTATTTTATTAGGCTTAAAAAATTTCACATAACACTTCTCTCATCCCTGCTGTTGCTTAAATCACTGAGCCAGTTTAGCGCGAACTTTTTTATAAACGACAGATGATTTAATCTTATAGAAAAAGCACTACCTGGAATAAGGTGTAATGCAAAACTTTCATTCTCTATCCAGTAATTCCAATACCGTATTGATTAGAATATTAGGACTTTAACTTATTTATGAAAAATATAATTGAAGTGAGTAATAGATATTGCGGAGCATACTCGATGGCAAGTTATTAATTGATAGTTATTGAGATATAAAGCCTAGTGATAAGAGATATACTGTTAATATTATGATAAAAATTAAAATTTTCTTAAATCATAAATTAGAGCATGACATTTATAAAGTATTAAAATATTCAACCAAATGATGTTAGCTTCTTAGAATTTAGCATATCTGAAACATTTTGTTTTTTTCTTTTGTTATCATTTATTTTATATCCAAAATAATTTGATGATATATGTATGTATTTTGCAGAGCTCGTAGCGACCCAACAATATTCATGAATTTTTATCAACAACAGGAACGACTAGAAAATTTTAACGTACAAGATTTAACGGTATTATCATCCAATCAACTATCACCATTAGAGCAGTCATTATCATCACTTCATTCAGCTACAGATTCTCTCAATAGTGGTATGCAACAAAAGATTATTCCTGACGGTAAGGATATTGCGGTTGGTTCATTACATGATATACCAATACCAATTGCATATCATCATCAGACAGTTCCACAACAGCATAGTGCTGGTTTATGTCAGACTTTAGCTACTCCACCATCATCATCCGAATCACAATCTGCGCCAACAAGTCCAGCTCAAAGTATTGAATTACCAGTACCAGCATCATGGCCACAACGTAATTACTCAAATAGTCCCGAGTCGCGGGAAATTCCAAATATCGTCCTAACGGGTACTGATGGAGAGCTCGGTTGCTTTCAAGATTTGCAGGATTTACATTTGGATGCTGGTGAATTACAACAGTTGCTAAGTAGCGGTGGACAAGTTGATCCTGCAGGTGAAATGCAACTTCTTGAGTAATTTCTTTGTTCTAACTTTTTCTTTCATGATCTCTCATTGATTGAATTGATGCTTCAGGAAATTGAGCGCAGTTTCTTTCTATTAGTTTTTCTATAGACAAAAAATTAATCAGATAATTTTTGCCTAAATTGATTATTGCTATTTATTCTAGTTATACATTTCGCCTCAATAAAAATTAAGGCAGTTGAATCGTATAATTAAAATCTTTTAGTTTCATTTTTTTAATTCGTTTTTTTTCTCGAAGGAAATTTCCGTATATTGCGGATAGCAGTAGCATGAGCCGTAGGATATATGGGTAAGGAATAGTTTTTGGTTACCATCATAATTCTAATCCTTTTTTTCTAGAATTGGATACTTTGATGATCCGGTAATTTTTCCATGTTTCCTTATATGATGGATTGGAATTGTAATTTAGACTTAGACTTATAACTTAGACTAAGACTGTTTTTTTCCCTTATAACTTAGACTAAAACAGAAAGGCTGTTTTTATCGTTTTTTAAAATTTTAGAAGAAAAGAGGCGAAATATTATTAATAAATTATCATTAAGCTAAGGATACAGAGATGTCGTATGAATTGCATTATTCCATTCATTGTCCCTATTTTTTTGTTTATCTAAATTCTTATAGAAAGTTTTTTCTTCTGCCTCAAGTTCCTTTAAATTCTGTAATAAAGTTTGTAATTTAATTTTTCATCCGAGAAAATTTCCAACTTCACTGTGCCATGAATTTTCACTACTTTAATGTTATTTGATACTCAGGATGAATGAAACGAAAAGGAAAAATAAGTTTTGTTGTTGAAAACAGGGAATTAGAAGAGACGGCTGGGCTGGGAATAAGTAAGCAAATAATTAGAGCATAACTTAATGAATAATTAAATTATTCGATGACTACGAAAGCACGTAAGTATATAAGTAATATCTTAATTACAATATTTAATTCTTGCAGAAAACTCTCGAGTTTAATTTCGAGATTTCATTATCTCGTAATTGATTGCTAAAAATTGTTAATAACATATGAGCATGTAGTAGTTATTGTTGTTAAAGATCTTATTTAAGAAGGAAGAGAATAAAGAATGATAAATAATAAAAGTTTTAAAAAGAAATTTTTGAAATATATTTATACACATATATATTTATATGTATAAAATTTATATGTATAATACATATAAATACATTTATAAGTATATGTATATATTTAAGATATTTTATAAATTATTTTCAAAATGGAATTTTAATCGATAAAAGGTGAAATATTCATAAACGATGATATGTTTTGCAAAGCAATAAGCTTTTTCCTGAATCATCGAAAATTTGATCATATCATAATCATATCAGATTTCATCTGACGATTTTATTCTCTCTCATACGGGAAGAGGAAATTACCATGCATGAATTGATACGATAGCAAAGCAAAAATTTTTTTAGATTGCTCTATCTTTAATATATCCATTAAAGCGATAATAATCGATGTGATAATTTCCGCATATAATAGGCGAAAATATAAAATATAATAAATTAATAATATATATATATATATTTTTTAGCATAGAATATCTTCAAATTGAAATCTCCCATAACCTATCATTCTTTTAAAAAATTTCCAATAATAATATAATATAATATAATGTATATATATATATATATATATAATGGATATATATGCGTTTTGCAACAATGGCCTAAAATGAGTGAGTGAACTTTTCGTATAATTGTAATTCTTATATTGTTTATATGCAAAGTTCATCATTTCTCATTAATTTCATTCATCAATTTTTGACATTGAAAAATTTTTGTGTCTGTTTAAAAAAGAACGAACAAAAAACTCTTTGATTTATTACTGCTCAAATATATTTCGTTTATTTATTTATTTTGCTGCACTTAAATTGTTTTGTATTTTTGCATATATGTGTATGTTGTATATGTGTGTGTGTGTGTATGTGTATGTGTGGGTATATTTTGTTATTCATTTATTTTTAAAGGAGTTTTATGAAATAGCAAAATGTGATAATGAATTTTCCACTATAATCTTTTAAATTAACTTTATGGAAATAAATTAATGAATGAGGCGAGATGAGTGAATTGATTGATCAATGTTTTATCATTAAGCATTTAAGTTTAATTTGTAAATGACATTCGAATGATACCCAATTAAAGTTTTGTTATCTTTTTCACTTTTCTTTCTTCTTCTCTTCTTTTCAAATCAAATCATTTCAACTGAAAAAAATTTTCAAATTTTACAATTGCTACCTCGTTATCATATTTCAAAACAAAGTGATGATAATAAGATTAAAGGGTTTAAATGTTCACTGATTTAGATTAAAGTTTATTTTTGTTTTAAAAATCTTTCTTTCAGATTAATCAACAATTTGCTGATTTATAAATTGAAAATATCAAATTATTTGCTGCTGATAAGATACGCATTACAATAATGATGTTAGATTTATAGAAAGTTCTTATTTTGTATTTAAAATTGATATTTCAAAATTTTCATCTCGTAGCTTTAATTCTTGATGTTTAATCATATCTTAGTATGAGTTATCATAGGAGTAAAAATAATGTAGGGATTAAACAATCAAATCAAATTAATGAATGAGAGGAAATTTATTAAAAGATTAATCCATATAAAAAGGGTAGTATTTTGTCTTCCTTTTCACTACCTCATTTTAAAACTACAAACTTCCCTTCAAATATTCTTGAAGGGGGAAAAAATTGGAAACTCTTCCATCTTCGAAAAAGAGGCAAATGGATAGCTTATTTTTTGCTCATCAAATAAAATATGCTTTCCGTAACAGAAAGTTTCGTAAGCTCAAATTTATTTCCAAAGATGGGTTGGCTAATACTTTCTTTCTTCTTCTTTTCTCTTCAAAATTTTTCCACTCCTTATAATTTCAGTATCCTTTCGCTTAAAAAATTTTCACTCTTTTGTCTTTCCTTTAAATACATGTAAAGAATTACGGGGATAATTCAAATTTCACATTTTTCTCATGCAAAAAATGCTAAAAGTGCAGAAATGTTATGCAAGTGCAGAAGTGCAGAAGTGTCATTGCACAAAACTGCAAATGTTGCATATAAAATATCGCTAAAAACTTTTCGCAAACATTACATGCTAGACTACTTAAAACTAATAAATTAGCAACATTTCGCAAATCGATTTAATAACATTCATTTATTCATACTTAGGTATATATCTGCATGCCGATAAGACAGACATGAATCTTAAAATGCCATTCGTTACACATAAAAAATAACATTATTGTATTAATCTAATTTTGGAAATATTACCCATTGGTTGGAAATCCTTTACAATAGTAATTACATTCAGTTTAGGAAAAGAACATTATAAGGATAAAGTAGGCATTGTATACTGAAAAGAAACAAATACAATATTTGCACAACAATATCGCTGGTATCCTCTTTCCATTCACCTCAATTATATACTTCAATTTTAAATGTATGAATCAAATTATATTTTTTGAACAAAATTTTTCTTTTTTTTCATTTGCTAAAATACTAATTGGATAAATCGCTTTAACTTCAGGTTATTCTGTCAAACTTTTTTTTCCTATGCAAAATATTCATACTTAAGTTCATATCGATTTATCAAAATAAGAAGATAGAGGAAAAATATCCGTCATGTCACATATATCTCTATCTAACCATTTGAAAATACATACATCTGTAACAACCGTTTTATCTATGCGACAAAAGCCGTCATAATTGCTAATATTCAAGAAAAAGAAAACGAAAGAAATACCATCTGTTTATTTCTTCAACAAAAAATCATATGTATAACTTTTCAATAGTTTAAAAGTTTGAATTGAAAATGAGGAAAAAATTGCCTTTCTTATTTGATTACTAATAATTTTTTACTTATTAAAATCATTATTAAGATTTATTTTTATTATTTTTTTGATCAAAAATAAGAGGAAAATTATTTTCTCCTTTTTCTTTTATTTTGAAATTTTCAAAAAATTTCATCTCAAATCCAAATTCTCTCTACATTTTAATTCGCGTATCTAACACTGTACCATACGTGCGCAGAAACAACGTACGCACATTTGACAAATCATTCACGACGCGTTTTTAATTTCTGTATATTAATT